AATATATTAAATGCATTATATACATAGAATATATATAAATTACTATTATTTTAAAATAATTTTTAAAATAATTAAATAATAATAAATTAATAAAAAATAATATTTTAAAATAATTATATTTTGAAAGTTTTTAATTACTTTAAATATTTGTCCAAGTGTAAGATATTGTTCCCAAGCATTACGATCTGGAGGTTGCAATTCTAAAGAACGTCTTGCTAAATATGTTGCATCATCCAAATATTGTTGAACTAATAATACTCGAGCTAAATTTAATAATACTTCTGCATTATGTGGTGATACAGCAAGTGCTCTTCGAAAGCATTCAATTGATCTTTGTGCATCACCTTTTATACGCCAAAAATTTCCTATTTGATTGTAAAGTTGAACAGATTTTGGTTTCTGAAACAAATTCAATAATTTCAAATAATAGGTTTTTTTTTATAAATTATTCACTTTTTTTTAAACAAAATATTTTTCAATAATTATACCTCTCGTTTTGCTTTTATTAAACGTTTCTCTAACAGATCAATATCAACATCCATAGTTTTGCCACCATTTTTCTTAAACATAAGTGCTACATTAGGTTCTGGAACTAATGGATGTTTATCTCTATTTGCAACACCAAGCAAGTTATCATAATAAGTGAAATTAACAGGCTTTCCACAGTCTAGAATTATATCCTCACATTGTTGACCAGAAGCACACATAACTTGTTCATTTGATACTTGAGATGATAGAGGAAAAGATTCAGTGGCATTTGATGTATCCTTCAACACGTATGACGAGAATCGTCTGCCAAGGGGACCAAAGTTAGGGCTTTTTTAACGCTGAAAGAATAGTAAGCCACACACAAATACTAACTACAGGAAGAAAAAGAAAATTGCATTATTAAAAACAAAATCTAAAAAATCTAAAAATTAATAATAAATAAAATATAGAAATAAAAAAAATTCAATATATAATTTTTTTTTAGATTAACTATATTTAAGAATTATTATATATTTCATATATTTCATACAGTTTGAATATTTAATCTTATTAATTTCTTAAAAAATTAAATATTTTTAATTCTTATAAATATTAATTCATCTTGTAAATTCTTATTAATATTTAAAATGATGATAAATGAAACATATGTTGTAATAATGCTCTGCATATTAATAATTATATTAAACATGCAAAACATGCAAATGTGATATAAAAAATAATCTTAAATATAAAGTATAATATTATTTAATGTTTTGATTAAGATCTTATTGATATATTTATGATAAATATTAGTATTATAAAAAATACAATGAATAAATACAAAAATCTAATGAAAACTTTATCTTTAAAGAATTTATCATTTCAGACCTTTAAATATCTTTTAATTAAGTGGAAATGTTACAATAATATCTATTATTGTGAGAATACCATAGCATATATGCAAAAAATCATAAAACATGAGATCTTAATTTTCCAGGTATTTAAATTCTTGAATTATGTTTAAAAAATATAAATCTCGAAATCCACTTTGTTTCAAAAAATGTTAAAAGTATCATTTTGATCAGTATCATTTTGAATTTTATATTCTGAAACAAGATGTGCCACATAGCTCTTACCCAAAATAAATCAAACTCCTGTGATTTCTTACCGTTCATGATTTCCAGAAGCAACATTTTTGCAATCTTGACAATATGATTGTATTTTTTCATAATTTTCAGAAATAGCTGTCCTACTCCAACTTTGTCCATTTCCAACACTAATGCTACTAGCCAAGATATCGAAAATAGGATCATCCTCAATTGTATTCACGAAATCTGTTGTCTTGACGACTTTGTCAGCACTGAGTCTCCAAGAAGTTCTGGAGTTTGTTAATTTTGCTTGGAGTATCAGAAAACAAAAAAGATAGCCAACAACACGACCATCAATTCCAATAACTTGCATTCTTTCACTTCACGAAAACTGATTAAATACTAAAGCGTAGAAAAATCGTCTGCTCTTGCTATAGCAAGATGAATCCTAAAATTTTCATCCAGATGACTCTATCCTTTAGGAATTATTAAACTAATTGCCAATATTTATTTTTACTATTATAATATCCCTAGAAATTGTAAATTACTTTTATTTATTATATTTCGAATAAAGTTGAATATTAAAAAGTTTTAAAAGATTGTTTTTTTAAAAGATTTTTATATCTTATCGATTTTTATATTTATTAAAAAAATAATTAAAATATTTGAAAATTAATAAATAACTATAATTGATTTAATAATAAATAATGTTTTCGTATATCAAAATATTATTAAATATAAAAATTCAATAATAATTAGATTATTATATAATTTTATTATAAAAAATTTATGTAAATACATAAATATATAATATTATTTTATATTTATTATAATCTTTTAAATATATAATTATTTTCGCGCCTAAAGATATTTAATGAGATTTTCTTCAACGATATTTTAGTATATCTTATCGTAAAAGTACGAGTTTCATTTTCTTACTTTTTTGTTAAAATATGGAAATCGAAAAAAGTACAAATAACATTGAAACAATGAAAATTGATACACAATGTATGCAAATTTGTGAACACGAAACTTGTAATATGGATACAAAGTTCTCGGAATTACATCTAAATTTGAGTAAACGTCAACTGAAAAAAGTAAAAAAAAAAGAAAAATGGTTGAAACGAAAGGTTGAACTAAGGTTTTTATTTCTCAGTTCTTTAATAAATTAAAGAACTATACATATGATTCTATATGTATACAATATATTCCATTATTTTATTATGATTAGGTTAAATTAATTTTTTAAATTATATCAAATTGAATTTAATAATAATACTATTGATAAAAAAATTATTTTAATTTTATAGATTACGTGAACGAGAGAAAGCAAAACAAAAACGAGCATTTGCTCGTGCAAATAATATAAATCTTGGACCATCCAGAAAAGCTTTAAAAAAAAGTATAATGGCAGAGAGTAGTTGTAAAATTGGAATAACTATTGATTTATCTTTTGATGATTTAATGATTGATAAAGATATTGCAAAATTAACTAAACAAATATTAAGATGTTATACTTTAAATAGACGAGCTATTGCACCAATGCAATTTTCTCTTACAAGTTTTAATGGAAAATCAAAAACAGATATGGAAAAACACAATGGATATGAACATTGGGATGTATGTTATTTTAATAAAATTGAAATAATATATTATATAAAAATAAAAATTTGTATAATGAATAATTTATATTCTAATTTTTTCAAAATTTATATTGCAGGTAAAATTTTATGCAGAATCTTATCTAAATGTTTATCCAAAAGAAAAAATTATATATCTTACTAGTGAATCAGAAAATGTTATTACCCAATTAGAACATGATTATGTGTATGTTATAGGTGGTCTTGTTGATCATAATAGTCATAAGGTAAGCTAAAATTTGTGGTTCATATAACCTTCTTATAATATTTATATTTTTAGGGTCTCTGTCATAAATTAGCTGTACAAGTTGGCATAAAACATGGCAGATTACCTCTAGATAAATTTTTGCGTATGAAGGCAAGAAAAGTTTTAACTATTGATCATGGTATGATTAATATACAATTATTAACAATTAAATTCAGTTAAATAATATAAACTTTATATATACATGTAAAAATATTTTTAGTGTTTGAAATATTACTTAGAGTCAGTGAAGGAAAAACATGGCAAGAAACATTTTTACAAGTTTTACCAGAGAGGAAAAATGTACAATTAATTGTACCATCAGGAGATAATAAAGATATATTAGATATATATAATAATAAAAAAAATTTTTTCTACACAAATAATAAAATTGAATCAAAAGTTAAAATCAATGAATTTGAAAACAAATGATGTATGTACATAACAAGTATATATTGTAGATAAAAAATATAATTTTGCATTTTGTTTTATATTTTTACTAACTTTATTTTATTATGTGTTTTATTTCATAAAAAGTATCTATGTGTATATCTACTAATATACACATGTAAGTTATTGTAAACAAAAAAAATACAAGATGTGAACTTTATTTCTAAGAAATTAAATATTAAGTACATTAATTTTATATATGGGATATTAAATGGAATGATATATATAAAATATTAATACAAATAATTATATAAATTAAAGATAAGATGTTTTTATTTAAGATGTTCTAATAGATTTACTTTAAATATAATCTCTTATGCAAAATAAAAATGTAAAACAACAAATTTACACTTTAAAAAAATATAGATCAATTTTTCTCAAATTTTGCAAGGAAATTTCAAAAATATTTTCTATATTTGTGTATAATTTATATACATATATCATTTACACTAATTATTAATTTATTAATTTAAAATGAAGTGAAGTTATAAGAATAAATTAAATTTACATAAAATTAAACATAATTACCTCAAGTATTTTATAATTTTATATTTTATGTAATATAATAAAGTTATGACTAGAAAATAATTCAAATATTTCGAAATTAACAATGTTTTTAACAAATATTATTTTTGAAAATTAATATATAGCAATATTTAAATAATGATTTAATCATTTACTTAATAATTTTTAATATTCATTATTTGTACACATTTTCATATTTTTTATACTTTATTAATTAATAAAAAATATTACTTACGAGATATAATTAAATACTTTTTGCAAAATTTGG